AAGTTTTTTTCAACTCAGTTGAGGTACTACTACACAAACTCTTCTGTGCCTTGTTTTTTTCACTTCATATGTCTTGGAGATGTTATGTTTGAGGTGTACACACCCCAGTGATTAGACATTTATAACTTACTAAGTGATCATCCTGATAAATCTTGCCTGACACCATACATTAGAATATTACTAGAACATTATTGAATATTAGATATTGCCTATGCTGTATTTTATAGCCCCATGACTATTCTGTAACAACCCATTTGAACTTCTTCATCTCTTCACCTTTTTTCACCCACCCCTCCAAACCCCCCAACCCCCTCCCATCTTGCCCCAAATCTTATCATCCTTTGCTTCAGCCAAACCCAGATATCTTCTCTAAGAACACAGCCTTTTGCTTGAGCACATTTTGTACTATTTCTTTTATATACAACTTTTATTAAATTCAGTTTCTTTTAAAAAATATATATTTTTATTGATTTCAGAAAGGGAGGGAAACAGAGAGAGAGAGAGAGAAACATCAATGATGAGAGAGGATCATTAATTAGCTGCCTCCTGCACATCCCCCACTGGGGATCAAACCTGCAACCCCAGCATGTGCCCTGACTGGGAATTGAACTGTGACCTCCTGGTTCATAGGTCAACACTCAACCTTTGAGTTGCACCAGCCAGGTGAATTCAGTGTTGTTGTTTTTTTAATGTTTTAAGTTTTAAGGCCTCAGTCACACTGAAGAGGAAGACTCCAGACCTAGCTGCTTTGGAGAAGTGGGGAGGGTGTCTTTTAACCACTGGACTTAGCCTTTGGGGACTCTGTTGCTGGGCAGTGACTCAGGGGGACAGAAGGAAATCAACTGGTGCTGAAAAAAGTCTTGAAGCAAAACATATGCATAAAACCAACCCATGATCTGTTACCTCCCCCAGTCAGATAAGGAAAGTAGAGTCCTCTTTATATGCCAAAAGCACATCCCATTATCTGTAGGGCATAATTATCCATCCATCCATCCATCCATCCATTCATTTACTAGGCAACTACTGTGTGCCTTCACAGAGACCAGACCCACAGTCATCTGGGTGGCGAAGGCTATAATAAAAGTGTGTGTAAGTCACCCAGGTGTTAGAGCTCTGCATGGGGTTGGTGTACTGTGGAGGGTGGAGTGGGGGCATTTTGCAAGAAGACTTCTGTGTAGAGTGACCAACTTGTCCAGGTTTGCCAAGGACAAAATTGGACTGTCTTGATTTTAAAAGTGAAAGTTCCATGTCCTGAAAACCCTCCTTAGTCCCAGGCAAACCAGGACAGTCAGTCATCTCAGAGGCTGGAGGGGAGCCATGGGATGGATGGTTAGGAATGTGCATACGATGAAGACACACAGAGAATTTTCTTAGTCAGGGTATTGACCCTTGTCTGCTTATGAACTTGTTGAGAAAAATTCAGAGCTTCTTGCTTTGTCAGTATTTACCCTCTGCTGGGGAAGTGCCCATTCACATGCATCAGGATGAGTTTGCAGTGTGTTCCTGACATTACTATGGTGCAGATGTTATGTGGGAATTCATAGAATGAGGAAGTTTCTAAGGAAATAATACATTTCAAAATTTTTGCTTTCCTTTCAATTAAAATAATCTGTTCTGCAGGCATTAAATAATCCAGTTCTCCAAAGGATAATCCAACAATAGGCTTTAAAAAATACCTCTTGTCTGAACTATTCTTCAACTTTAGTGACCCCATACGATTTTGAGAGGAAGTTTCATTTCTCAGTAGATATGGAGCCATTGAACCTGTCTTTTAACCACAACTCATTTGCTTTCCGTATTTCTTTGGGAGTTCCTTCCTCTTTTTGTCTTGGGGAACGTCTCCCTCTAATTTGATTTTTTCCTTTTCATAGACTGACTTGTTTAAAAGGCCTGGTGGAGGCCAGCAGATGTTGATAGATGGTCTGTGCAGAAGTTAATAATGTGATTTCATATTATGTGGGTGTATCTGTTAAAATGGTGCTTCTAAACTGAACTCTCTAATACGTGCAATGAAAAAAAAGTGTTTGGAAGTATCATAATGTTACTGCAGGTATAATAAACGACTCATGCTTTCGTGAGTAATGTGTAAATACATTTAAAAGTGATTCGTGTGTACCTTGCTAGTGGTAATACAAATTGACAGAGCCATTTGGGGGCAGCTTGGCAGCAGTTAGCTGCACTTGGCTGATGCAAGGGAGACTGAGAGAGAGGACTCGAGGCAATAAAGATATATTTAAAAAACAAATGTGTTATATTTTCCAACATTGTAGGTGGGGCTGTAAATTGGTGTCCTTCCACTGGGGAATGACTAAAAAACCCCACAGAAAACCAAAAAACTTGTGCCAACCGCAGCACTTACCGCAAGTGAGGGGATAAATCTATACGAACTAAGATGAGAAAGATTTATAAAGCATGTTGTGAAATGAGAAGAGAAAGTTGCAGCCCTGGCTGGTGTGGCTCAGTTGGTTGAGCTGTTGTTCCAGGCACCAAAAGGTCGCCAGTTTGATTCCTGGCCAGGGCTCTGCCTGGGTTAGGGGCTTGGTCCCCAGTAGGAGGCATGCAGGAAGCAGTCTCTCTCTCCCTCTTCCTTCTCCAGCTCCGAGGGTGATTTCCTCGTGACCTTGGCCAGGTGAGGAGCCTTTCTGGGCCCTCAGTTATATCCCTTTGTAAAACAAGGGATGATTAAGAGCTCTCATTTTAACTCTTTACTTTTTATTTATTTTTTAATCTCACTTTAACTCTTAAAGATCTTTAACTCTTTAAATAAGTTCATAGAAAGTTAAAGGCTGTGATCATAGCAATGAACAATAGCCCACTGCCTGTCTGCTTCTGGGTGAATGAGTATTGGCCGCATTTCTAGGACTGGAGACTGTGTGGCTG